ATATATATATATATATAACCAATTAATTCACAAATTTTCAAACCGGCATGTATCAATTATCATGTTGCCACGTAATTATTAAATCAAATAATCACGTATTAATTTACCTTGGGTAATAACCAGGATATTACAGTGAGATCGACTCTCAACAACAAATTAAAGGATAAATTAAAAAATTAATAATTTTAGTAATTTTGACTTCAAATTTAATTAAAGGGCATTTTAGTTATTTTAGAAATTTTCTCTCCACTCTCTCCTCTCTTTTTTCCTCTCTCCAACGAAGACCACATGAACACAAGATACACAATGTGATATCTAAAAAACATCAACACTTTTAAACAAGAGATACATACAAACGATGTTCATTGTGATACCCAAGATACATACAAGATGCACATGGTGATAGCCTTTGTAAAGCAACGAAACTAACAATGCACATTGTGATGCCCTTCATAAAACAAAATGAGAATATGGAAAGATGCACACTGTGTGTATGTGTGTGTGCATGTGTGTGTGCGTGTGCGTGTGCGTGTACGTGTGTGCATGTACGTGCGCGTTTGTGTAGTTAATTTGAGTAGTACAAAATGTGAATATGGAGAGAGAGAGAGAGAGAGAGACTCGTTAAATAATTTAATTAAATATAAAGTGGGAATATCAAGTTACTAATGTTACCTCTTTACCTTATTTAAAAAAATATTAATTATCATAAATGATTGACTCACATTAGATATCATGGTTATCACAAACTACCGAATCCTCTTTTGATTAGGCATATATATATATATATATTATCTGATTAAGAATAAAGAAAAATTAAAAATCAATTAAAAACTTTTGTCTTCTCTTACTATATATATTTACACACATATATACATATGCTCATGCACAAACAACATATATATCTCTGATGAACCCGCTTTCTCACCAAATAACATCTTTTGATGACGGAGGAGATCCATTTCTATTGAATGTGGCGGAACACAAAATAAGCCACGTATCAACGTTGTTGAGTTTCACCTTGAGGCCATCAAACGACCTTAGTGCTTACTCTCCAAGGTTTCAAGACGAGAACATCAAAACTCCTCATTTCATTCAAACCAAATGTTGAAGTGAGAACATCAAAGCTCCTCACGGACCATAACCAAAAAAGTCCAAGTTGAGAACATCAAAACTCCTCACTTTACCGAACGCGGTAGCTTCAAGACGAGAACATTGAAGCTCCTCGCTTGATAACCAAAAGTTTCAAGATGTAAACATCAAAACTCCGTACTTGATTCAAAATAGTGATTTCAAGAAGAAGACATCAAATCTTTTGTCTTGATCAAAACGTCAATCCTCATGCACATTGATTCAAAGCAATAAAATCACTATTTTCAAGGTTTATATTTGGAAGACAAAATAAGTCCAAATGACATGTATTTTCATTGATTATGCAAACATATGCATAAAATGTCCAAGTAGCAATGAACAATCAAAAGTTAGGCAAAACCCTAAGTAATTATGCAATATATGCACGTAATGTTCAAATATAATTGTTCAACAATCAGTGTTGGACAAATTTCCCAAAACTCAATGAACAAGGTCCAATTAACCAAAATTCACAACTTATAAAACCACTTTAATAAAAATCCATATAAGATAATTACATATATGTTTCCTTAATGTTTAGACACTCTTATGCACCAAAACAGGAACGATTCGAATACAACATCCAATTTCCGGATAAATAGATAAAAGTTATATGATTTGGTCCCTAAAATGTCCAAACAACTCAATATCAGGCATTTTCCAATGCTTATAAAATTAAATGCACACAAATGTGTGATAGTGCCTAATAATGATCATACAACAAAATCATACTCACATGATTTGTATCTCAAAATGTCATACAAACTCAATTATGAGGATTGATTATTTAAGTAAACAACAAACAATCCAAAATTGGACAAATCTCAGTGGCAACATCTTGAATGGTTTTATATCGATATAGGACCACAATCCATGGAATTTACCTCTTAAAAATTCAAAATATGCATATTCCAAATACTTTTTACTGATAGAAAGGGTCAAATATTTAACCATTCATGGTAGAAATCACACTAACTTTAGTTTGTAGTTCAACTCATCAAATAATCACACAATGCTCAGATAGTTAGTTAAACAACTCATTAGGTGTATAAAATCTCATAAAAGCAAGTAGACACCAATGATATTTTTGACATGTACAACGTTTTCACAAAGTAACTTGAAACTCAATT